AGAAGAGGTGTAGAAAGCCCTCTTCCAGCGGAGCTTGGTACCAGATTCCACATAGTCCAGGCTCCAGTCCCCATTTAATCATTCCTGCATTTCCCCTTTCTGGCTCTAACAGCATCCAATTGCAAGGATGTTGCTGAACTCTTCTTAACCGCAATGACTTAGTTTATGTCTTTATTTTTAAGAGGACATGCCACTTTCCTATCCTAAGAGGTTCCCAAACATCCACAGAGAAGAATTTATATAGTACACGTACTACCACCAAAGGCTTAATTTTCTTAGAAGACTATCTTGACATAGATAGTGTTGGTCCTTTTCTAAAAGCCTTTCTGCAAGATCTGAAACTGGTGGAGTCCACGTAGGAGAATGTTGTATTGTGGAAGGCTAATTCCACTAGGCATTCTCGGTGCTTTTTCTGGGGGGCGCAGGGGTACGCATAGCCCTAAACATTTTGTGAGTCTGAGTTTGGCCTCATTGAGGGGCAGTATTTCAATATGAGTAGGGAATGTGAGTACCCCTAAACATTTTTTAAGGAAAAATGCACTGGGCATTCTAGAATGTATCCAGAACTCATGCTGTGTGGGGCTTTAAAATAGGTCAAAGGGGACTTTGACTCAGTCTAAAACAGATATATTTCATAGAATCATAGAACAGTAGAGTTGGAAGGGACCACCAGGGTCATCTAGCCCAACACTTTGCCATGCAGGAATCTTTTGCCCAGCATGAACTATCCAGTGCCAGCCCTGCTATTAGACAGAAAGGGAGGAGTGACTGGCTGCTTCAGGTGGCAAATGCTGGGTGAGGACTGTGCCCAAGCCTCCTGGACACAAATTTCTCTTGGGAGAATAGATCTGCTACCCTGTTGCTCTTTATAAAGGTGACAAAACGCAACTCTGCACGCACAGAGGTGGTGGAGGCCTGTTTCCAGGGTGCTATAGCAACTCTACTGCTGAATAATGACTGGGATCCAAATCATTGACCTCATGGTTATTTTGCATTAATAATAATAAATTAGATTTTAAGATGAGATAAACCAAAATAAACACACACACAGTAATATTATTCTGATGGTTCTTCTCTATCAAATAGTTTTCATTAATGATCATTAGAGATAAGGTGTGCAGAGGTGACTTAGTCAGAACCATATAAACTGAGTTCATAGCCTTCGAACAGGCATAGGCAGACTCCAGCCCTCCAGATGTTTGGAACTACAATTCCCATCATCCCTAGCTAACAGGACCAGTGGTCAGGGATGATGGGAATTGTAGTCCCAAACATCTGGAGGGCTGGAGTTTGCCTACGCCTGCCGTAGAAGCATGGCTAATCTGAAGCAATGCTATGAGTCTACAGCAAAGGGCATCTCCCTTCACCATGAAAAACATGGACCAAAGCCTTTGATGGGACATATAATGCGAATAAGCTAGACAAAACAGCCTGTGGCTTGCTTTGAACGTTTTGGCTGTGCCAAAAGGAGTCATTGCCCCTTCAGCATTTCTCAACACCTCTTGTGAAAATTATCACTTATTTATTCAAATTGCCCTCATCTGCCTTCAGTGATATCATCCTTCATGAAGCGATATTTGGTTGGCGGTGTTGACTCACATAATTTTATCTATTGATATCTGGTGACAGTGCCATGTTTGACACAGTGCTGTGATGGCCTTATTGCTTTTGGATCCCTTTTGGGGGAAGGAGCACCAATGTGACAAAATTCAGGAAGGAAGAGCCAGCTATTCTATCTTAAGGAAAGGACTGTGAGGGTAGGTAGAGCATTGGAATGGGGACAGTTAGATGGTCCAAAGGCAAGGGCTGAGGCAGAGTGGAGTATTGGTGCAGTCATAGTTAGAAAGAGCAGTTGAGGAGAAAATCTGTGTTGAGCAACAGAGAGGAACATGTGCCCCACTATCTTGTTAGATTCCAACTCCCATCAGCCCCAGCCAGCCTGGCCAATGGTTAGGGATGGGGTGGGGACTGCCACAGAGTCCAAAGAGCAGGGACAGAACCATCTTCAAGAAGAGGAGTCATCAGATTCATCTTTGAGGAGTCGGGACATAATCGTACCTGACTCAGAAAAATTATCATGCCACTCTGGAAAAACTCATACTTGTCAGATTATCGAAAAAAGAAGATACAGCAACAATGTATGTTGCTAAGTGGTACAGCAGAGTGAAATATTCTCTGTGGTTTGGGGAATTCACAGTGTAGATGGTGAATGCAATATTATATTTATTCCTGGATGAGTCCCTGTAAGCAAGAGTCCAGCACATTTGTTCCCCCCACATTACTTCAGTATTTTGAGGTTACATAAATTAGTTTATGAAGACAGAAGTGCCTGGCGTGCTCTGGTCCATGGGGTCATGAAGAGTCGGACACGACTAAACAACAACAAATTGGTTTATCCCTAATTGAACATGGAGCTGCTGTGGGATGTTTTATGATATTTGAAGGTAATATCTCTGAAGGCTGGATGCAACATTGACCCTCAGGACTAACTGAAATTTTCTTCAAATATCTCTTTTTACCCTTGCCTTCCCTGTGTGCTGTCAGCTGCTCTTGCTGCCCCTTCTCTCCACCGTGGTTTCCCTTTCACTTACAAAATGGAGATGGTAAATTACTGGGGGAAAATCTAGCTTCATTTTCTTTTCTTTCTTTTTGCTTACATTACTGTACATTTCCATGCTACGTGATGGTGCTATAAAAATAAACAAGTTTTCAGTCATCTTCAGATTAGTAACAGCTCCTCCTCTGTGATAAATGTTTCCTTGAGGTAAAGGTGCACATAATTAAGTTCTGGGGCAAGTGACAACATGAGCCATCACAGATTAATTATCATAGCTATAACTTTCATATTGCCCAATGTCAACTCAGACAAAATATATTAGTAGAGGCAGTTCACACAATTGAGAGTCAAACAAAGTACATGATGAATAAACTAGTTCTTTGCCTGCATCTGTGCACACTCACCAGAACATTCATATTAACAAGCCATTTTTAAAGTTATCAGTTCACAACACTGAAAAAAGGCATGTTATTAGCTGGTTGATAATGCAATCCTATACGCATCTATTAGGAAATTAAATCCATTGAATTCAATGGGTTTACTCCCAGGTAAAGGAGTACTGGATTGTAGCCTAACATCATACCCATGTAAAGCTGTATCTATCACTAAAAAACTGTGTTGTTCGCCAGGTCTTTCCTTCTTCAGCCAAAGATTGGTTTTCATATGGACACTAAGGCTACAACATTGTACAGATGGTGGCAGCTGTTCAGCTTCACCCAAGTCAGCAAATTAAGTTTCTTAAGACATTTTAGCAGGCAGTAGTATCCTGCTTGCAGATCAATATGTCTGATAGAAAATTTGCTTGCAAGAGCAGGATAATGGAAAAATTGACTGATTAAAAGGATAGGTCTTCCTCTTGACATTTTCTCCACTGACTAAATATTATGATCTACCTACATAGATGGTGGACCTAGCAAAACCATATAACATTAGAAACTAGGCTCAGTTTTTAAGCATTCAGTGTAATTTCTCTCTGCACAGCATCCTCCAGTGCATACACTGAGAAGTGTAATAGCAAGTGTGCTAATATACTCCATTGCTAATCACCTGCAGGGATGGGGCTCAACCACCTCTGTCAGCTCAGAAAGGGAGGTTGTTGGGCAGTAAGTTATTGGTACACCAACAGAATTCCCCACCTGTCCCTATTATTATTATTATTATTACTACCACCATCATTATATATTTATACCTCACTTTTTCCCTGACAGGGACTCAAGGCGGCTTACAGATAAAATGAGAACAGCTAAAACATATAAAAGAAATCATCAAAAAATTAATATTCCCCTGCATTGAATGCACCCAAAAAGGGAGGGAGTTTCAAGGTTGCCTGGGAGGATGGCAGGACCTAAGCTGTGTAGGGCTTTATAGGTCGTAGCCAGTACTTTGGATTGTGCCCAGAAACAGACCAGTAGCCAGTGGAGTTGTTGTAGCAAGGGAGTTGTCTGCTCCCTATAACCAGCCCCAGTCAAGAATCTGGCTGCAGCTCCTTGGGGCAGCTGAAGTTTCCGAGCACTTTTCAAAGGCAGCCCCATGTAGAACATGTCACAGTAATCCACAAGAGCCATAAACTATGTAGAAATATTGGGATCCAGGTGCTGATTTGATGGGTGGTTGGGTAAGGAAGACAGAATCCCACTATGTCCTGCGCTGGTGCTGACCTGAGATCTGATTTGGAAACATCTGGAATTGATTCAATCTCAGTGATGCAATCCAGGTTGGCTTCCTCTTCCAAGATGAAATCATGGATAATTGCAGTTTTATTACAGGCAGACTTGGTATTTAGCAACAGCCCTGGTTCACCACATGACCTGAGGGCAACCTGGCAGAACTTCTCAGGTTACTGTGGGGAATGGAGGGAGCTGGAAGCAGGAGGGCACCTTGAGAGTCTCAATCCTCTTCCCCTTAACTGGCCTGGCCAGTTACCTCCGCTGTGTCGCCCCCTTTCTGTTATCACTAGAATAAACACACTCCTCTCCTTCCTCCCCATGCCCACCATAAACTTAAACTTTTTCTCAACAAAAAACAGTTTCAGCATTTGTTTCATTTATTCAACTGATACCATCTTTAGTAGATCACTGGTTTTTTAATAAAGAAGTTATTAATAAATCTACACAGGTAACTCACAACTGACGTGCATTGAACTTGTGCGCATTCAGCTTTACACAGTTCACAATTTAAAAAGTGGGGGGGCAGGCATCTGAGAAAAAAGTCTTTGGCAATCCCACCCACCATTGAACCCAAGTGATTTGACTATACACGATTTTGGTTTCACATGCTATCCCTAGAATGTAAACCCTACATAAGTTGAGAGTCGCCTGCATCCTCCTAATTTGTTTAGGACAGCACTGTTTATTTCACATAACAGAGGTTGTAGGGTGAAGAGACATCTCTCTCAGATCAGTATGTTTCCTGCTCAGCTGTGTGTCCTCTTGTGTTGATGACAGGGTGAAGATAGCAAAACTTCAGAGAAGAGCATTCATCCTCCCCCCGTGTCACCTTCCGCAGTACCTGACCACTTTAAATGCAACATCCTGAAGGCTCAGGTGGAAGCGGCTTTTCGTGTGGGTCCTGAGGTGGGTATGCCATGTCTGCCTCCCCTTTAAATGTTCTCTTATGGCTTATGCACATGTGTATCCATGCTCATGCAATACACATACAGGCCATACACACACACATTCACTGCACATTCAGCACACACACACACACACACACACACACACACACAGCATGCACACTCACTGCATGTGCAAACGTTTACATGTAGTCAAGCACTCATGCATACCTTCTCTCTCACACACACATGTGCAAAGGGGGGTGTGTGTGTGTGTGTGTGTGTGTGTGTGTGTGCATACACAAAACCAGCATTTCCAACCCTACCCACTCCAGCACTGGTGGAGGTGGGTTGAAAAAGTTGCCTTTTACTTTGTGTTCGGGGTTCTTTTACTGTAAAGTAAAGTTGTTTCTTTGGAGGCATTTTCAGCCCATGTGGTTAGCCTATACTTTCTGACTTCATTTAGTGTCTGGATTTATTTTCTTACCTTGGTCCCCATTGCCTGAATTTCTAGCACAAACAATTCCTGCACAGACACAGATGCCTAGACCAAAAAGAAGCAAAGTGTTAGAAATAGTCAACTGTGCCTAAGGACTTAGTCTACCATAGTTACAAATAATTTGGGATGATGCAATTTTCATGACTGCAGTTGCCTAATAATAGCAACGTTTACATTGTTTTTCTTTAATAGCAAGGAAAAGAATAGGTGTGCCTTCAAAGATTTGTTCTGTGATTTATTCCATTCTCCCTCTTTCACCTTGGCACAGATTTCAGATGAAAGATAAATCACTTTGGCAAAATATAGGATTAAAACCAATCCAATTATAATACAGCTGACGCCTATGGGGCAAAGATAGATTTATCCGAAATACCAAGAGAGCTTAGATCAGGGAAAGTCCATTTACATATTCTGAGGGGCCACTCTTTTCTGCAAGGTAGAAGTTTATTTTGCTTCTCTCTCAACCCAGGCCCTTTAACTGAATTGGGGGGGGGGTGTTGCAAGATATGAATGGGGGCAGCTTTTGCAGCTCAGTGCACAGCTTGAGATCAGTTGGAGGTTGATGGTGTTCAGTGAAGAAGGAAAAATATGGTCTCCAAGATATGGTCTCTATTGACTTTCCTCAGGCACAGTGTTGCCTATGCTTGTCTTGAAAGGCCTCAATAGTCCCAGATCTCAATCTCCCAGCTGAAAAGCTTGCCGCTTCTATAGGGAAGTTTGTCTTCTTGAGAAAAGGAAGACCCAGTGCTTTTTTTTCTGGAGAGAGGCAGGGGTACACATACTCCTAAACATTTTGTGAATCTTTGTACTTTTGGCCATTTACTGTACTTATTTTCCCCGATATGAACTATAAAATGGTGATTTTCCTGAGTCAAAATGAGAGTATCCCAAAACATTTTTTTGGGGGGGGGAGCACTGGGAAGAGCTATTTCTGTTCCCCCTCTTTTTCAGAAACTGGTCCTGTCAGAGTGGGATGTGTCTTCACAGAGCAGGCATTCAGCAGCATATACAAATGAGCACTATGTTCTAGACTGGCAATTGCTTCCGACTCATCCCTTTGCCCAGAGTTCCTCAGCCTGATGAAAGGATTCAGGGAATTGGGGACACAGCACCAGACATTCAGGGGTGAAGCATGCCTCTACAAGGGACAAGGCAACACATTCCTCCTTGTTTTCCAGCCCTAAAATTCCAGGGGGTCCAGGTCAAGGAGTGAGGCTACTGAGTTGTGTAGCATAAACACTGTCAGATAGGCATTATTCAGATCTCTAGAGCAGTGTTTCCCAACCTTGGGCCTCCAGCTGTTTTTGAACTACAATTCCCATCATCCCTGACCACTGGTCTTGCTAGCTAGGGATGATGGGAGTTGTAGTCAAAAAACAGCTGGAGGCCCAAGGTTGGGAAACACTGCTCTAGAGTATTCCTACAGTGTTGCATGATGAGGATGATGAACAACATAAAAATACAAATTGAGAACATAAAGGGTTTCCTTGAACCTTATTAGAGGTGAACAGTGTCAGTTCTCTCCTCCATAATTGTGGGGAGAGTTAGACATTTTCCCTCTCAGAACAGAGAGGGATATGAGCACTTTAGATGGAGAATGATCTTCTAGATGGGAAGTCAGTATTTCTTCTTACAGAATTGACTCTCTCTCCACCAAGGTTAGTGAGGAGCTTCTAGGGTCAACAGAAGAAAAGTCAGCTGGCTTCTCTAAAGTACCACAGCCAAACAAACAAACAAACAAACAAACACAAATTGCTTCATGAGTTTTCATGAGAATGTTCCCCCCCCAGGTGACAGTCCTGTGTTATTTATATTTGAAAGCATTTCTAAGGATAGCAGCAAAGGACCCTAGTTTAATCTTCTGAATAGCTGCGGTCCAAAATAAATGAATGAATAAACAGAATCTCCATGTATGTATTTATGTGCATATTTATAGACTTCTCCTGCCCAAAGTCACCCTCTATACAGGCTGTATTCTCGGCAAACAAAATTAATGCAGTAGACTCCTTGAATGCAGATGTGTTTTCTCCCCAAAACGTAGTGGTCAAGATGAAATGAGTGCACATCTATGTTTGCCGTCATTTGTGATGGATCTGCTTATTACATGATAAGCGAGGAGGGAGGCAGAGCACTTGCTAAAGATTAATATTTAAAACAGGCACAGCAGCAACTGTCTGAAAGTTTTGTAATGAATTTGCATGATTGGGGTTTTTCTACGAAATCATTGTTTGATCCTAGTTTATTATATCTGTGTTCAAATGTAATGCAAAACTCCCACTGCAAATAGAGGTGGATGGAATGCCATGGATCTTGCATGAGCCGGAGTTTTGCTGTGGCATGTTTGCTTCCGGCATCCCACCTCAAGGATCCTGGTTCAGAGAATCCGCATTCCAGATCTGGATCAGTATGGCTGCAGCCATGGAGTGTAGGTCTGTAATAACCATGCACATGCTATATGAGTGTAGGAAGAGATTATGTGTGGTGGTTTCACTGCTTTAAGTTGTGCACATTGCACAAACAACTGAATGAATTAGGAGCAAAAGAGGAAGAACAGCAACTCTCTGGTTAAGTTGTGCTGTGCCCTTCCACCGTTGGCGCTGTGTTTTGCATTGCTCAGAATGAATGAATGAATGAATGAATGGATGGATGAATGAATGAATGAAACTTTATTTGCGTCAGCCAACAGCCATAGCAACAAAAGAACATTGCAATATACACAGAACAAAATAAAAAGTCGATTATATAAAACACAGTTGAGGGTCCTGAATCAGCAATCAAATAGTGGACCTTATTCTGATTGTCCCAGCTAGAAACCTTGCAACCTTTGCAGTCATCTGCTCCTCTTTGATCTGCCAGGAGAAAAGACACTGTGGCAGTGGTTGGGTGACCTGGAATGGACAATAAAAGGGGTGTGTGTGATAATTTCGTTCCTCGGGTCTTTGTAAAGAGTGCATGCCAGGAAGACGCCACTGATTCAGTGCTACCATCAGAACTTTGCTATTAGTCAGATGAGAAATAAATTAAACTCCTCAGCAATCACATCCCCCCCCCAATTAACTTGAAAGACATTATTATGAAATCTGCAACACCGACCACTATCACTGTTACCCTGAAAAACCTCATTGTTTGTAAGAGTAGGATTTAATTCAGTTGGTCTAAATGGGGAAAGGTTAATTCCTACTAACGTAAGAAACCTAGGGGTATGGTGAGACTGAAATGGACTGAGTATGTTTGGTGAGGATCATTAAAAGGGAAGATCCAGCACCCATAACTTCCTTTCATCATAGCCAATATACAGTGTTACCTTGGTTCTCAAACATAATCCATTCTGGAAGTCAGTTCCAAAACCAAAGCATTCCAAAACCAAGGCGCGCTTTCCCATAGAAAGTAATGCAGAACGGTTTAATCCATTCCAGACTTTTAAAAATAACCCCTAAAACAGCAATTCAACATGAATTTTACTATCTAACGAGACCATTGATCCATAAAATGAAAGCAATAAACAATGTACTGCAGTCAATCAATCAATCAATCAATCAATCAGTAGCTGGTTCCACACTTGGTTCCACACAGTCACAAAACCAAACAAAAAAGCCACAAAAACAAAAATGCAAAATAAATAGCAAAAATAGACAGACCTCAGCCTAACACTCAAAACGGAAGTGTGGCACTCAAATTGGAAGCGTAACACTCAAAATAGAGCATGTTTGGCTTCTGAAAATGTTCACAGACCAGAACATTTAATTCTGGTTTTGCAGCGTTTGGGCTCCAAGTTGTTTGAGTACCAAGGCATTTGATAATCAAGGTACCACTGTATTGTGTTGGTATGAGGTCTTGTTCCAGCTGAGGGCTGCAAACCAAAGCAGTCATGGAAGATTTGTGGGGAGTTGGAGGCATGTGAGTGATGGTGCTGGCAATAGTCTCCCCGATGCTTTTTAACATCTTTATGCACCCCCTCACCCAGCTTGTCCGGAGTTTTGGGCTGGGTTGCCATCAGTATGCCGATGACACCCAACTCTATCTGTTGATGGATGGCCATCCTGACTCGGCCCCAGACACACGGACCAGATGTTTGGAAGCTGTGGCTGGATGGTTACGTGGGAGCTGGTTGAAGTTAAATCCTTTGAAGACAGAGGTCCTCTGGCTGGTTTGGGACGATATGGGATTGAGGGGGCAACTCCCATCTCTTGCGGGGGTGCAATTAGTGCCAGCACCGTCCGTTAAGAGTTTGGGTGTAATCTTCGATACCTCCCTCTCTATGGAGGCGCAGATTGCAGCTATAACAAAGGCGGCATTTTTTCATCTCCGCCAAGCTAAGCAGTTGGCCCCTTATCTCTCTTGCCCTGACCTAGCCACTGTGATCCACGTGACGGTCACCTCCAGACTGGATTATTGTAACTCGCTCTACGTGGGGCTGCCCTTGAGACTGACCCAGAAACTCCAGCGGGTGCAGAATGCCGCAGCGAGACTCCTTATGGGGTCTTCGCTGTGAGATCACATTCATCCGGTACTATACCAGCTGCACTGGCGCCCGGTGGAGTACAGGATCAGGTTTAAGGTGCTGGTTTTAACCTTTAAAGCCCTATACGGCCTAGGACCCTTGTACCTACGGGACCGCCTCTCCTGGTATGCCCCACAGAGGAACCTACGGTCTGCAAATAAAAACATCCAGAAGGTCCCAGGCCACAGAGAGGTTAGGCTGGCCTCAACTAGAGCCAGGGCTTTCTCGGCTGTGGCTCCAATCTGGTGGAATGCTCTGTTACAAGAGACTAGGGCCCTGCGGTACCTGACATCTTTCCGCAGGGCCTGCAAGACAGAGTTGTTCCACCAGGCCTTTGGTCAGGGCGCAGCTTGACTCCCTCTGGCAACCTGCACAGAATTTTGCTTAACGGTTGCCATTAATTTGATTTTAATTAATTTTTATAATGAAATGTTTTTAGAATGTTGGATTATTTGATTGTTTGATTATTTGATTGTTGTTAGCCGCCCTGAGCCCGGCTTCGGCTGGGGAGGGCGGGATATAAATAAAATTTATTATTATTGTTGTTATTATTATTATTATTATTATTATTATTATTATTATTATTATTATCAGCAATGGCTGTGTGCTCCTCATAGGCTCCCATAGAGCACTACATTTGTATAACGAGCTGGGTGTGAGAGTTGGAGTAAAAGTTTATTGTTTTGTAGATTGGCCTAGAATAGCTGCCTAAAGAATAATGTGAACAAAATAATGTGAGTCTAATTTTATCTGGAAATAAAATAACATTGTGCGGTATTTCTGATGTGCTATAGTTTTGGAAAATATTAATGGCATCACTACTTCTCAGTTATTGTTGCTTGAAGTATTTATATGCCTACAATTTTCTAAAGCCCCCAGTTCTTGTTACACAACACAATTGTGATTTCTGGTGATTCATTTACAAAATATTCTCAATGTAATATACAGGAGAAGACCTTTACAGTTTTAGCCTTGATTCGAAAGTAAGCACTCACTGCTAAATGTATTTGTATTTGTATACTGAATCTATGTACTGTACTAAATTACTACGCACTGTACTAAAGTAGAGTTATTCTTTCAACAGGTTGGAAAAGAAGAAACTTCTTTGACAAATCCTCCTAATGCTTCCAGCCTGCAGGACCCTAATGTCAGGTCTGTGGATTATTATTTGCAGGGTTGAGATTATGAATGAAAGTTATTGGAATCATCAAAGCATGCAGTACATGCTTGTCAAGGATACAAATCTAGTTGATAGTTTCCACCACTCATGTCCTAGATGCTCCCTCTCCCCCCAAAAGCAAGTTCTTCACCAAGGGCAGGAATCTTCCACTCTAGGGGGTATGCAAACTAATTTCCCATCATCCCCAAGTTTTCTAACACAGAGAGAGAAGGGGGGGTATTCCTATTATTTAAGGCTACAGTTTGAAAAAATAAATAAATGGTGGAAATCTCTCTTGTTAGGGTCCAATATGTAAACCTTGAATATTGTTACAAAAGTCAGATGCCTGCCCCTCTCTCTGCCAAGTGGTGGCAAGAGCCCATGGGGTCTGCGTCCCTTTGGAGAATAGAAGACGCAGCAGAGATTGTCTGGCTTTAAGAAATATGGTTTATTCACCTATTTACACCTCCAGTCTGCATGCCAGTTTTCAAGGCTATCCAATGTTAGTGGTTGGTATCTCCTCCCTGTAAATATAATCTAATTCGTGTGTGTGTGTGTGTGTGTGTGTGTGTGTTTGTGTTTGTGTGTCCCCTATCCCTAATTAACTGTCCGGGGCAGAGAGGTCTAGCTTGGAAGAATCAGTGGTCCAAACCAAATTTATCTAAATTTGTGTCCTCAGGTCACTGTCACTTCTTTTATGGAATTAGTTTATTACTATTTTATAATTAGCTACAATAGAACTGGAATGTTTTCAGTGCCTAATCAAAAACAGCTGCTTCAGAAACTGAAGCTGTCAATTAATGCATTAGTTGGAATGCTTCCTATTTATGTCGAAGGGTGGGGAGAGAATGGCTTTATGTGGAGAAACTGCCCCATCTTCATTGTACTTCACCCTATTTCATATTGGACTGATGAAGTAGAAATGGAGAAATAGGATTTCCAGACAGATTTGAGTCTTGTAAATTAAGCTCTGGCAAAACAAGAATCTGGCAGAGCTAGAATCTGGCACAGACTAGATGCCATAAAGAGAACAGATTGATGCTGGAATGAGAAAATGGTTGCTTTTTTGTGATAGTTGGGGCCATTTCCAACATAATAATTCTTAGAGTACAATGTTCAAAGAGGGTCCTTCTAAGGGCTGCACTTCCACTGCCAGTTTCCTCCTCCCCATTTGAGATACATGTGGGACCATTTTGGGGGGAAGAGTGTAATATACTTTTCCATGCCTCCCCAATCTCTAAGTGGTAAGAGATTCCAGGGCTTGTAAGGCACAGTGGAGACTGCCTTTGTGATATATGGTTTATTTACACATACATCTATAACCTGAGGCTGTGATGGAGGGGCTTCTAGCATTGCTTCTCCCATGGCCACAGTCTTGGATGCATCAGAAATCAGCCCTTACCCTCCGCCCTCTGAGCAGCCCCTTGCCTTTAACAGAGAGACCCCTTTTCTCTGCTAGCTATCTCTCTGAAGGAGGGGCTCACACCTCTCTGCTATCTGCTTTGTTAATCACTCATTACCTTCCTTTTGTTCTCCATGATGATGGCTTTTCTCCCAGGTGATTTCCTGAACACAGAAAAACTGGCTTGGCCTGTAAATTGACACTGCTAAATTCAGCCTCTGGCAGCCTATTTTAATACTCCAAGCATTGATTAAACTCCAACACACCCTAGACCCAGGAATTTAAGGGAGGATCTGTCACCCACAAATTCATAACAATACAACCAGCCAACGTTATTCTTGAGGCATTTATTATGTGGTACACTGGCTAGTAGAATGTTTGGTTTGGATATCGACAGGTTAAAATCCACACTGAGTTGCAAAATAGCCTTTGAATAGTTGTTGAATAGCCTTTGTTAATTTTGTTAAGTTACTGACGTAATCTCTCTCAGACTAATTTATTTTGCAGGGTTATTGTGACGATTGAGGTGGGAGAGATCTGGATTCAGATCTCTCCTCTGCCAGAAAGCTTTCTGGATTATCTTGGGTCAGTCACTCCCTGCCAACATACCGGTAATCTACCACAGAGAATAAAAAGAAGAACCACATATATTGCCCAAAAACCCTTGGAGAAAGGGTGGAATAAATATATATGAGAATTCATAAAATTACAATGCCACTCTTTTGGCTCCTGGGAGAATGAGAAATTCAAATGGAACAAATACTTAAATCATGATAATTGGCCAATGCCTACTGGAGCCTTGCCATATCAGATGAGTGCAACAAAATCCTCTGCCAGTGTATGTATGTGTGGATTGAAATGTGCTCCAAAACCTGTGAAGGTGAAGAAAGGAAACATTTGCTGCCTCGCATTTCTGATCAGCCTATTTTGATTTTCCTGACTGTCATTGTTTTTAATATCACTTGTCATGTGGTACATTTGTTGAGCCACTACTTTCGTGGAACGCACACGAAAGCCGTCTGGGCTGTTTGGAATGCCAAATGTTTAAACATGTGCTCGCAATATTCTTTTTAAAACAAACTGTTGGCTCAGCATAGTCAGCTTTTATCCACTGATGGTAGCTATCATTATTCATTAAAAAAATTTAACCCAGAGGTAGGGAAACCCTGGACAAGGCCATTCTTGGTCCACTAAGGGGTCTAAACTGGCTCATGAGGCCATTTCCCCAAACTACTACTACTTATTAGTCTGTGAACTGCCCTAAGATCATATTATGAAGGATGGTATATCAATCAATCGATTGATTGATTGATTGATTGATTAAATAAATAAATAAAAATAAATAAAATAAATAAATAAATAAATAAATAAAGTAAGTCTTGCTTGTGCTGCTTCATTAGCATTTTCCATGAGAAAAACTAATCTACATATCAACAACTAGTCACTGAAGAAGAAATCAGTAGAGGAGGAATAGGTTGCCTTTCTGTCTATTACCTCTCCCCCCACAAGATACAGCAAGTGCTGCTGATTTACTCCCAACGATATAATGATTATTCCTGTTCAGGTACCCCAGTATGTTGAACATCTGATGCAGAGAGAGCTCAGAGTTCTCTTTAAATGAACTTGTTTGAATGTGCTGTCCCTGTCAGACAGCACTGGAAAGTTCCCCCAAATGCTGGGACGAGCTTTTGAAATTCATTAGCAGTGCAGAATCTTACACATTTGTAATGGTGTGTGAAATATAAATGGAACTATGATCTAAATATATTCTACCGCTGTTGTTACATTTAGAAGAAAATGCAACTTGACGAAATTAGTGTATTTAATGTGTAATTACAGTAGGTAGGTCACATGCAGAATAGAAATTTCTGTTGCAGAAGCTTCAAAAAACAACTCACAATTTAATGACTCTAGAAGAAGGTGCACTTCTGACATATTTAGCTTGCAATATATATTGGACCATAGCAAGATTAAACTAGACTTCTCTGTTATGTTTATCTGTATTTTGCTTTTCTCCATAACATGTCTCCATAACTCTGTATCTTAGTTTGTGTGTTCCTTTGGGGGGGGGAGGAGTAGGGCTGCCACATTTGTTCTGGCAAAATACAGGACAGGGCATGGCAGTGGGGGTGGGGGTGGGGGCTTATTTTCATTTGGTGCTGAAGTGACTTCATAACAATCCATTACAATCTATTGCAGCCTAACAGGACGGCCCCTCTAGAATTTGTCATACACAACACACACATGAATTTCCAAATCTGTCTTTGCTTGGCTACCCAGAGCTTAAATACCTGACTTTTCACACACCCTTTCAAACACATGTATTTGGAGAGGATTCCTAACTTGGCAGAGAGAGAGAGAGAGAGAGAGAGAGAGAGAAGACATGAAATACAGGACGTAGCATTTTACATTGAAATACGGGACAATCCTGTATAATCCAGAACAGGTGGCAACCCTAGGAGTAATACTCAACGTGAAACTAAATAGCTGGATGACTTTTTTATTTTTTAAAAAACTTGAAATGGTTTGATAACTGGTTACTAAAACTACATAAAAACTGGGGTTAGAAGGCACCTCAAAGGTCCTCTAGTTGCTCACATGATCAGGAATTTATTCTACATGTTGAGTTGAAATCTCCTCTCTTGTAATTTAAATTCCTTTGGTCCAGGTTGATTTCCCAGGAAATGGCTTCTAGGATATTAACTAATATGTTTACAGCATTGGGTGGGGCAGAGAAGCAGCAGCAAAGCCAGAATCTGCCCCTCTGCATGATGGAGGTGGCAGGAGCAGAGGCAAGCAGCTCAGTGCCCAGATGTAGTATTTTATACAGGGAGGAGACGTGGTGGAGATGGCTTTCCTCTGACCATAGGTCTGCCTAGTGGAAGTGGTAGTGCTGGGAATCCCTGGAGTTTCCTTGAATATGGGGTGTGTGGAAGAGAGAAGCAGGGGGGTGCTTCTCCAGCTGCTCCATGGACCTGCCTGTCTGCATGGGTTTGTCTTTGAGTTTCGGGAGTGAGAGATTAGCTTCCCAAACTGTGGGCTTTTGGAAGGCGCTTGGGCAGAAAGAGAGGTAAAAGAGCAACTGTGGTCTAGGATGGAGGAGAAAAAGCTGCTCTTGGGAAGAGAGAGGGGGATCTGTGGAGTGTAGAAAGAAAAAGAGATGATCTTTGGTAGCTGATTTGAGTTGATTTAATACAATGGTACCTTGGGATGCAAACGAGATCCGTTCTGGAGCCCCGTTCACATCCCGAACAGAACGCAAAACGCGACAGCGCATCTGCATGTGCACAGGTCACGTTTCATCGCTTCCGCGCATGCACGTGACATCATTTTGACTGCCTGCGCATGCGCGAGTGGCAAAACCCGGAAATAACGTGCTCCGTTACTTCCGGGTCACCGCGGAGCGCAACCTGAAAGCGTTCAACCTGAAGCGTATTTATCCCGAAGTATGACTGTATTTGTATTCCATTTTTCCAGCAACAAATGTTGAGCTCAAACCAGCTCACAATATTCACAATAGCATTAAAAAACAGCAAACATTGCAATCTATAACAGCAAACACAACAGCATATAAAGCAAACAACAACAAATTCATGAAAACAATTCATACAATTAAATAAAATCATAGTAGGGTGTGGATGTGTATGCACACACGCACACACACACAGACAGACAAACAAACAAACAAAGAAACACTTGAGATATGTATAGACCTACCTACTAAGTATCTACCTACCTATCTACCTACCTAAGATATCGAACAAATGATATCTTCTCCCAGAAGTCCTAACTTTGTCCTTTTTTTATTTCTTTCTTCTTCTTTATTTAGAAATCTAGCCCCTTTACGGCCAGAGACAACACAGACAAGCAGTGTACCTGAGAAGCAGGAAGTTAAAGCACCACGGGTGAGGAAACTGATGAGGCAGTACAGCTTGTGAGTATAATTCCAGTTATGGCTGCTGTACACTGTTTCAGATGTGTTTTCCCTATGGGTCCATTTCAGGAGTTGCCAACCTTTCGGTTCAGTAGGCACATTTTGAATGCTGTGGGTGCCAGTCACAAAATGGCAGCTTGGGATGTGGCATAATACAAAATTTAGAGTCTCATCAGTGCTGCTTCCCCCACCCCCAGACAACTTCAGGCTTGGCCTGCGAAGTCAGCAATGTCCTGCTGGTCCTGATTACGGAGATCACACAATATTGATCACACACACAATGATGGTGTTGCAGTGAGAATGGTTGACCCATGGAAAGTCCCTCATCTCTCTGCCACTCCTCTTTCTCTTTCTCTCTCCTTTCACAGAGACATGCCTCCCCACCTCCACCATCCTTCTCCCAATCCATCCACCCTGAGTCCAACAGGTTATACCCCACCCCCATCAGGCCTTTCCCTCAGAAACAGAGCCAGCTCACCTGTGATGGGGTGAAGCTCCTGCCTCGGTCAGTGGAAGTGCAAAAGGTGGCACCCTGCCCACCCAACCAAAAGGAGGTGTCCCGGCAGGTGGCATAACTAACCCGTTTTCCACAGATGAAGAAGCCGGGCGGCAATGCTTTGAGGAAGTGCTCCAGCTCCTACTGAGTTTGGCAAGAGCCAGGCCCCCCCAGCCCCCGCTACTTCTGCCCTCACCATGTCCTGGCTCTTGCCAAACTCACAGTCCTCAAAACATTGCAGGGGGTTGAACTAGAATCTGGCATGTCCAACAGGTAGATCGTGATCCACTGGTAGATCGCAGGGTGTTCCTGGGTAGATTCCTGGTAGATCCTGGCTGATTTCTGGCCCCTCGGCAATCTCCTTCCTAAAAAAAGATCAACAAGTAGGGGTAGATCACTGCCAGTTTTTATACTGTGAGTAGATCACAGTGTATTGGGAGCTGGACGTCCTTGAAGTAAATGGTCCTCAGGATCACTTCCACCTCTATAATTCTGTGATTCTGTGAGAGGTGATTGTGGAAACGGTCGTGGGGGAAGCAGTGGAGGGAGGGAGGAAAGGAGGCGGCCATTCCTGTTTTGCCTCAGGTGACAGGCCAAGCCAGCTCAGGAAACACCTAGCAGTCGGGAGCATTTGATTGCTGCTTTGCCATTGGGGAGAAGTGATTGAAGAGGGAGGAGAATAGTGAGACCGTTAAGGTAGCTGTGAAGAAAACAAAGAGGAAGAGGAAAAAAAAGTGGATAAAATTAGAGGAGTCTTTTTGCACTGAGGTTGTTTCACAATCACATGGAAAAAGACAAGCGGTCCAGTTTGAAAGAGAGTGCTGACTTAAAAGAGTGGAACAGTGAAGCCAGCATTCAAATCTCTGCTCAGCTCTGAAGCCTGCGGAATAGCCTTGGGCCAAGCCCTTCTTTCCACCTCTTCTGCACCTCAGCATTGTTGTGAAGATGACGGGAAAGTCTCCTGCAGGCTTCCTTGAGGGCTTTCCATGGGGAGTAAAGGTGGAATCAAAGTCTACTAATAAAGTAATCAGAAACAGTTCAGTGTGTGACTTGTCACATTTGTTTTTGGCCCTTTCAGCAGAAGTGACAAAAGCAGACTGAAAGATCTTGGCAAACTTTACCAAGTCACAAATAGATAAGGTGAACAAAACAAACCAGGACAGGCCTCTAGTGGAAAGGAAGTGCACAACTGCAGCTCACACACACACACTGGATTATGTTCGCCCCCCTTATATACAATAACATGCAGACTGGATGAATTTCCTGTGGCTCTTCCTGGTTTTTAAACAGCACCCCCCCCCCCAGTTCTGTATGCAGGCAAGGGTTTCTGAATGCAACCAGAACTGTTGAATTAGCTTTGCAACCTGAGTAACCCCTCATATTACATCTACTAACTGCTTCAAAAACCCTAAATTCAAACGGACTCTTAGCTTGCACTTTTGGCTCATGATGCCCTGCCATTGCCATTGCCACAGCCCCCGGCTCTTTATTATTCCTGATTACTACTGTCAGTTGGGGATGTGGGTGGCGCTGTGGGTTAAACCTAGGGCTTGTCGATCAGAAGGTTGGCGGTTCAAATCCCCACAATGGGGTGAGCTCCCGTTGCTCAGTCCCTGCTCCTGCCAACCTAGCAGTTCGAAAACACGTCAAAGTGCAAGTAGATACAGTGGTGCCTTGCAAGACGAAATTAATCCGTTCTGCGAGTCTCTTCGTCTTGCGGTTTTTTCATCTTGCGAAGCACGGCTATTAGCGGCTTAGCGGCTTAGCGGCTATTAGCGGCTTAGCGGCTATTAACGGCTTAGCGACTTAGCGGCTTAGCGGCTATTAACGGCTTAGCAGCTTTAAGAAAAAGGAAACAAACTCGCAAGAACTCGCAAGACGTTTCGTCTTGCGAAGCAAGCCCATAGGGAAATTTGTCTTGCGGAACGACTCAAAAAACGGAAAACCCTTTCGTCTAGTGAGTTTTTCGTCTTGCGAGGCATTCGTCTTGCGGGGCACCACTGTAAATAGGTACTGCTCCAGCGGGAAGGTAAATGGTGTTTCCGTGCACTGCTCTGGTTCGCCAGAAGCAGCTTAGTCATGCTGGCCACATGACCCAGAAAAACTGTTTGCAGACAAACATTGGCTCCCTCGGCCAATAAAGCGAGATGAGCATCGCAACCCCAGAGTCATCTGTGACTGGACCTAATGGTCAGGGGTACCTTTACCTTTACCTTTACCTTATTGTCAATTGAGCATGCCCAGTAGAGAGAATAAATGTGTGCACAGCAAGCCAGGCAGCAAACTGTGTACCTGCTGACTTACTAGCTTCTTTCTTTAAGCAAAACATCTTAATAATTCAATCAGCATAGTTTTCCCACTGTGAAAATAATACTATTTATGGGGATTTTTTTACTGGGGTCTAGGACATAGCTGTCAATTTTCCCCTTTTCTTGCGAGGAATCCTATTCAGAATAAGGGAATTTCCCTTAAAAAAAGGGAAACGTTGGCAGCTATGGTCTAGGAGCAAGACCAGAGAATGTAGAGAGCTGAGAATCACTGAATAAATTGAGTGCTGTGAATGGTGATTAAATAGACTAAGTTTCATTGCGAATATTCCAGTGAAATTAATGTTACAGCTGTGCACAAATGGCCTCCAACATTCAGTGCTCTCTTTGTGCATAGAAAAAATGGGAGGGAACATTTCAGCCACATTCTCCAGCAGTTCCTCCCAGTGGGGCTCCCCAAGAGCAGCAACCAGGGTACAGCTTCATCCCCCTCCCACCCCAATGGCTATTTCATTTTATCTTTATTTTTTGGTGTAACTGTCTATTTTGTTGGCTGGGCAACCTGGCTTCCATTTTGCATAATACCTCAGACCTAGATCAGATCTAAGTTTATAACTTAAAATGTGTTATTAAAATGTGACACCAGAGGGGACTAAAGGTAAAGGTAAAGGTACCCCTGCCCGTACGGGTCAGTCTTGACAGACTCTAGGGTTGTGCGCCCATCTCACTTAAGAGGCCGGGGGCCAGCGCTGTCCGGAGACACTTCCGGGTCACGTGGCCAGCGTGACAAAGCTGCATCTGACGAGCCAGCGCAGCACACGGAAACGCCGTTTACCTTCCCGCTGGTAAGCGGTCCCTATTTATCTACTTGCACCCAGGGGTGCTTTCGAACTGCTAGGTTGGCAGGCGCTGGGACCGAGCAGCGGGAGCGCACCCCGCCACGGGGATTCGAACCGCCAACCTTTTCGATCGGCAAGCCCTAGGCGCTGAGGCTTTTACCCACAGCGCCACCCGCGTCCAGAGGGGACTGCAGAGCAGCAAAGGGAAACTGCCATTAAACGTTATAGAACGTTATGTTTAATAACGTTTATAAGATCGATGTAGCTCCAGCCTACTAGTGTTATGCCAGGGCATCGCGGGGCAGAGAGGGAGAATGGGGGAGAATATCTGGAGATGTTTATTGGCTTTTTAGTAGGGGGGAGGAGGGAGGAAAAGAAACATCTCAAAAAATAGGTCTTCTGAGGAATTTTGACTTATCTCTAAAAATTAGAGTATTTATTGCATGCCAAGAGTACATGCATTACATTTAGAACAACACAATTCATTGTAGTAGCAACAGAAACACATTCAACATTTTTGGTTTTAGTTAAGGGTATATTTGTGGTACATCAACAGATTTTTCTTCTGCTGTTGCTTGAATGTAACGATAACATAAGCTAGTTATATTGACACAATGTGCTTATTGGTTTAAAGTTCTGTCTCCACTTACACACACTTCCGTATGTACTGTTTTATTTTGGATTAAGGCTTGACATGGAGCATTTGAATGTTTGTAGTGCATTGAAATTCTATTATGGTTTGTTGCTAAAAAAATATTACAAAATGAAAAATGGAAGGAAGTAATATTGTTTGCCTCAATATATGATTAAGAATCCAAAAAACTGTGCAACTAGTCTCCAGACTGATGATGGCTTCAGGGGCACCAGCTTGAATAAAATATTGGTGGGGGGGAGGCAGGTGAGCCCCACCCCACATAATCAATCGCATGACACAGTGCATGAACTCCATTTGAATGGCAATGCCCATCAAATTTGGGGCCCCAGCCCCCTCAAATGTTTTATTGGGCGATGAAGACCCCCAGGAGTTGGCTCCTATGGTTGGCTTTGTTTTAAACTGCGATGAAAACGATTCTGGAATTGCCATTCACTTTGCTTGTGCTCATCACAACTATTTTCACTAGCCATTTGTTATAGTCACATTTCTCTAATGAGTATGAAAAGGAACATATTGCAATATAAGTTAAAATTAGACTGATACAAGTGGCAGAATGCAGATCTAAGTGTTAACATGCACGTTTTTGAAGCTTCATTCACAACTATTGAACATGACAAGAGTTTTCTATACAAGAAACAGTGACCATGCCCTCATTTTTTTAAAAAAGGCCTTTAAATACGGTAGTTAAAATGCAGGTGATCCTCTTTTAAAGGAAGCTAATTGGGCAAATGTCCTGGTGCTCCAGCTTGCAGCCAGAATGTGTGAAACTAAATTTCTTCTCTAGCCTGCAGTTGTTATTTTCAAGTGACTGAGAATATTTACTCAATCGGCAAGCCGCATGAGAAAATTCCACTTCCATACAAATGAGTACGTACAAGGAAACAAATTCACCTAGCAAGAGTGGGGAGAAAGCCAAATTATTCCTGCTGCGTATGAAGGGGAAAGTTTAAAAGAATGTCAGCAGCCTTGGTGCAAAATAAAGATTAACAAGGTCAAGGAACTAAAAACTGTCCATTTGCATTAACATAGCATCTAATTAACACAGAAAATAGTCTTTTTGTTTTATAATACCCTAGGAAAGAGGGTGTTGTCATGGGTTATTGTGTGCTCTGAGGAGGAGTAAGGAAGGCAGCCAGGAGCTGCTCTTGGTGCCCCTGAAACCTGGTTTTTATTGGAGGCTGAGACTCCTCAGACACAGCTAGGAGTGGCTTTGTATGTGGCAAGATTCACGTATTCAAGGTGTGTGTGTGAAAGGGGGTTGGGGGTTGGTGGGAGACTTATCTTGGCAAGGAAGGGTGGAGTGGGAAGGGTTTCCCCAAACAATTTGAAGTGATTTTATAGCTGTATAATTAATGCATTTGGTGAGAATCAGAAAGGAAGCACCTCAATTTTTGTCACCCATAAATACATATGGTAATCTACAGATATGTTAATGGTAAGTGGAGCTTTAAATAATAATAATAAAAAAAATTCCAACCAATATGGAAGCGTTGCTGTTTTATATTGTCATTTGATATAATCTCTTGAACAAAATGCTTAGATGCTTTCTAATGCAGCAGTCGGAGCCAGTGGCATCGCAACGGGGGGTGGCGGGCAGGGTGGGGGTGGGGTGACAAGAAGGCATCCTGCAGGGGCTCTGTTAGGATTGTCCTACTCTCGTGTAGGACTCTGGCAGAGACATATGCCTGACTGGCATGTTCTCTCCCTCCTTCAAAAGCTCTCTTCAGCCCAAACATCACAGCAACTGATACCAAGAAGCATCAGCACACTTAGGGATCCACAGAGTATTCACAGTTTGCATAACAGAACTCAGTAACACTCAGTATTTTGGCTAATCTACAGTTATTTACATATCATGCACTCGGAGCATCCTGCCTTAGCTCCTTCCTCTTTCTCATCAAACAGCAAAGAGAGAAAGAACAAAGGACAATAGTCCTATATTCCAGAACACAGTAGTACAAAACATCCTGTCTCCGTCACTTCCTACACTGTGGAATGAAAACATACACCGCCATGTGATAGACAACAATCCCATGACTGCAAACATGGAGCAAGAATCCTAACAGGCTCACCCCATGCAGCCGCATGTGGAGGATTCTCTGTCCGCAGTTGCAGCCACAAGCAGAGGATCCCAGCGCTGGCAGCAAACCAGTATGTACAGCGCATGTGCAGTGTCGCACGCGTGCGCTGTACGTAATGACGCTGCACATGCGCTGTACATAGTGGTTTGCCGCCGGTGCAGCTTGAGCGCCATATGGACGGTGGTGGGATCCCTCTGTCACTGCTACAGCCACATGTAGAGGATCCTCTGTTCGCGGCTGCAGCATAAGATCCCGGCACTGTCCATATGGCACTGGAGCGGTGCCACTGGCAAACTGCTATGTACAGTGCATGTGCGGCATCGCTATGTACGGTGCATGTATCGTATGTAGCAACACCACACATGCGCCCTAAGTAGCAACGCCCCGCCCTGGGTGTCACGATGCCTTCGTTCTGCCCTGGTCGGAGCCCCCTCAGCATCCATCCTCCCTATATGTACAACTCTGTATGTGCATTAGGAGATTCCTGTACCAGCAACTAGTGTGTGTGTATGTGACACACTTTTCAGAAAAACACAAATGAAAATATAGCAGAACTGAAGAGGCGAGCAGAAACAAGTGGTAGACATTTTGAAAATGTTTTCTAGGTTATCCTCCCCATGAAAATGAGTACTTAAAAATATTGTAGTGAGCAAAGTTTCTTGTACTTTTAACAACCCAGTGATGAAGATGACCTTCCTCCAGCGCTTGCAGCAGCGGTTGGGGCATCGCCATCACACTCCTCAGCATCTCCTGTGTCACAGAGAACAAACTCGGAGGGACATTTTTCATCATGTGCAAAGGTACATACAGATAACTGGAAGGGTGGGTTAAAATGTGGGCTCAGCAGCAGGTAAGGGTGCAAGTCATAAATTCATGGTTGCCTTCGATAAGCATATTTGGTTCACATTCCTTGCTGTTACTGAAAAATCTCCCCTCTCCTAATCCAAGCCTGAAATGCCAAGGAGTCCCTGCAAGTTCAACTTTCTGTCTCATGTTCAACTTGACTAGCTAAGAGTCTCACAAGCCTGATCAGGAGAGCTTTAAACTAGATTTTGAGAGGGAGAGAAACAACATTACAGACAAAAGACAAATACCTGGTACTGGGGATAATAGCTTCATTGATGCACAAAAAACTGAGGTGGTGCTCCAGAAACCTACTAAAGTATAGAAACTACAAGAAGGAAGCAGCTGGAGGGAACAACTCATGGTTTTAGTTGTCTCTACACAAATGCATAGAGTATGGGAAACAAGCAAGATGAATTGGAGCTTTTAATTCAGGGTGGCAAATATGACCTGATAGGCATTAGTGAACCTTGGTGGGATGGAACCCATGACTAAAATGTAGGGATTGAGGGAGGGGTATAATCTGTTCAAAAGGAATAGGCCAAACAGGAAGAGGGGGGTAGCATTACATGTAAAGGATGTGCAAACTTGTGAAGAAATCCTTGACCTGGAACATGGAAAGCAGATTGAGAAAATATAGGTAAAAATTGTAGGAGAGAGAAACAAGAGTGACCTTACTGTGGGGGTCTGCTATAGACTGACGACTTGGATGATGCCTTCCTAAAGCAGATTACCAAACATTCAAAAAGGAGATTCATAGCAGTCATGAGAGACTTCAATTTCCCCGATATCTGTTGCAACTGAAGCTCTGCAACGTCTGATAATTTCCCCTTTGCCTCGCTAACAATTTCATTTTTCCAGAAGGTGGAAGAAGCAACAAGGGGATCATCTATCTTGGACCTGGTCCTCACTGACAGGGAGGGACTGATGGATGAAGTGGAAGTACTCAGAAACTTGGGATAGAATATGGCAATATTGTTCACAAAAATGCCATGGGAAATGGACCTAGATGTGCAAATAGTTTCTGCAAAAATATGGGAAGCCTCATTAAAACTTCTGCATAGGTAGCATTATACACCGGTGAGGCTGTCCCGAATGTGTAAGGAAGTCAATCCCAATTGTTGGAGGGGATGTGCAGTCAAGGGTACATATTTCCATATGTGGTGGTGTTGAGACATCATCAAACCCTTCAAAGAAATAAGCTGAATATACAAGAAAACCACGGAAGTGTCCCCTGCACTAGCACTGCTTGGGCTCAGGATCCTGCCTGCTCCTGATTATTCCAAAGTTGACCTCTTAGCCTTTCTAATGACTGCTGCTCATACGGAGACAGCCAGATGTTGGAAAACCGGTGTTGGTCTAACAAGAGTACAGTCAATAGCACTGGCTGAGAAACTAACATGCCAGGTGAGAGCAGCAAAGGGCAAACACAATCCATATTCCTCTTATATGGCAAATGTTTATTGAATACATAAATTCTTCAGGCAGTGGCAGGAATCCACCCAGCACTCATGGGAAAATGTGGCATGATCGACTTAGAGTAATCAAATGAAACTTTAACACATGGCCTGACAGAAGTCTGTAATTTCATCAGGACAAGTTATTTGTTGTTTACTGTTGTAACAATTGTTTTCTCAAAATTTATCTTCTGTACCATGAAAATAAATATTTTAAAACAGTATTTAAAAAAGAGGTTATTCCACAACACATGCAAGAGCAGGAGGAGCACTGAAATCTTTGGATGGGATTAACACAAGACCCCACAGCCCCATTGTACTGCATGGGTCAGGCATAAGGAGGACTGTGGTGGCTGAGCTAGGCTATATTGTGCGCCTGAATTGGGAGGCCAAAGAAGAGTTGAGAAATGCACTGCCTCTCTTACAGTTATTGTTGTGGTTCTGACACTGCTAGTGAATACAGAATTTAGATTTCCTGCAGTTCATCTTCTCAAATGAAATTCTTTTTGTTTACAATTCAGCTCCATTAACACTTCCTGAATTTTTACTGTGCTTCAGAGCCCTACAGATCCTGGAGGTCCCTTTGCCCTGGCACCTGGAGATCTGCTCATGGATTTCACGGAAGCCACGCCGATGGTAAATGATTTCATTTTGCAGCCCTGGAAGTTATGTCTCAGAGAATTTCTTAAATCTGCACAGGAAAAAGCTGCAATGTTTATGTTGTAATAATTCAGAACACAATACTATTATCTTAGTTCTGTTGTGATTCTGGCTTTCATGAATTAGACTAAACCTGTAGAGATTCCTGATCTATTTATTTGAAACCAGCTTAAGAAACTTCTGACAAATGCTTGTATACTGTCAAACCAGGAGGAAATTGTATCGTTCTAGTGATCTGATATGATTTTTGTATGCATTCACTTCTTGTTTTTTTTGTAACAGGACACTATGGTTGTTCTGAATTTTAAAGCTTGGACTGGCCTTTGCGCCAGCGGTCCCGTCACCGATGGCAGATTCTCTCCTGGAGAAAATAGCTTCTGGGGCGGGGGAGGGGCTTTCCCTGAAACCACTGCACAGGGAAAAATAATTTTGTGAACAGCATTCATGATTTTGCTCGCACACATGCACACCCTGAAGGCAATTGCTTTTTGATTTATTTTTCAAGTAAGAAGGAGTCGCACATTTAATTCGTACACATATATATTGTCTTATTTTAGGCCTGTGACAGAATCTTGGGCTATTAAGAATGTTGCCAAGAGTGAGTGTTCATAAAACAAATGCCATAAACTACAACTTTTGACCATGTCTTCATCTTTGCAGCCTCCATCTCCATGTTCACAACCAGACCAAGTAGTGATTGCCACCTTGTTAATGTCTGCTTTTTTTTTAAACTTAGAATCATTTCCTCTGTGGGATACCATCAGGCTGTGCATTGCACTACGCAATTCTGGTATGTCTGTATTTGCAAGCAGCTCTTTTGGAATGCCTATTAATTTCATGGACCGGTGTTCCTTGTTCCTTGTTCCAAAATACTGCAAGTTTCATTTTTGAGAGTCAGTGACTTTGACTTTGTGAGCAAATAATAAAAGGAGCCGTGTACATTCCACTCAACATTTGACTGACCCTTCCCCCCCCCCGCCCATAGTTTGTACCATCCACGCTTACACTAAGGATGCAAGCAAAGCAATGCAGACAAATGGACAGATAAGGGGATATGGCACGGCATTTGCAAGGCTGTGGAGGATGGAAATTGGGATAAGAGGAGGCAGCATGCATAGGCGCTTGGAGGAGTTGGTGTGCGGGGCAGGGAGAGCCCTGATGATTAAAACTCCACTTTAACCACCACCCTCTCTTATTGTTCACCAGATAACTGCCATTTTGTTTTAATTTCTCTCTACATTCAAGAGGTTTGTAATATAAATCACAGGCATTATATACCTAATTTCACAAGAACCAAGGTTATCCAGCTGTAAGTGTGCTTGAGTTTAAGCCTAAGGGGCCCAACACTCGCTAACTTGGGTTAATTTTCTCTTAATTTCCCCATTGTGTGCAGACCAGACTGTAGGGCCCAAAGCAGGAGGAGCCTCCTTGGCTACCTGGGTGCTGGGAAACGATGCTGGTGTTGTGAGAGGAGTAACCATGCATCCCATGCTGCTCCATGAAACAGACCACCAATGCTAGGAAGGAAGGAAGGAAGGAAGGAAGGAAGGAAGGAAGGAAGGAAGGAAGGAATTGGCAGCTGGTGCAGCTGTTTTAAAATAAGTATGATGCGAGTTCTAAATGGAATCCCAGCCAGTAATCTGGCTGCTGCCTTTCGGATCATTTGAAATTTATTAATTGCCTTCAAGGGCAGTCCCATGTAGAGTGCATTGCAACAGACCGATCTGGAGGTGACTGCAGGATGGCTTACAGTGGCCAATTCATTTCGGAGAAGGGTCCTAGCTGGTGAACCTGGTACAGTGGTACCTCGCAAGACGAATGCCTCGCAAGATAAAAAACTCGCAAGACAAAAGGGTTTTTGGTTTTTTGAGTTGCTTTGCAAGACGATTTTCCCTATGGGCTTGCTTCGCAAGACGGAAACGTCTTGCAAGTTTGTTTCCTTTTTCTTAACACCGTTAATACAGTTGCGACTTGACTTCGAGGAGCAACTCATAGAACGCGGTGTGGTAGCCTTTTTTGAGGTTTTTAAAGACTTTGGTGATTTTTGAAGCTTTCCCAAAACTTTCCCAAAACCGTGCTTCGCAAGACGAAAAAAATCGCAAGACGACAAAACTCACGGAACGAATTAATTTCGTCTTGCGAGGCACCACTGTATAGCTCCCACACTTGAGAACAAGAACACGTAATGCTCTTTCCAAGTTTCATTTTCACTTTATTGCTGCACATCCAGCCAGCCCATCACCATCTCCAAGCATTCTAGTACTTGAACCTTTCACCTGATTCTGATGGAAGAGAGAGAGAGAGAGAGCTGAATTGCATTCATATATTGGTGGCACCTTGTTCCAGATCTCCTGATGACAACTCATAGCAGTTTCAGATAGATGTTAAAGAGCATAGAGGACAAGACAGAATGCTGTTCAGTGGCCCACCAATACTACTTTCTTGGAAATGGAACTGGAATTATGAGGAGAACTACTGAAGTACAGTGCCCCTAATCCCCACCTCTCTGAGTTGCTCCTGACATCTACATTGGTTAACAGTACTGAAAACCACTAAGCAGTCAAGAAGAATGAGCAGGGGTTCAGTTCCTCCCTCGTCTCTCCCAACAAATGTCACCACCCAGGTCAACCAAGACAGTTTTCACGCCATAACCAGGCCTGAAGCCATACTAAAATGGATCCAAGTATTTTCCAAGTGTGCCTTTCAAGCACCTTGTCCCAAAAGGGGACACTTGCCACTGGGTGGTGATTGTTTAATGCTTCTGAGTTCAGGGAGGTGTCCTGTACTCCAAAAAGTAAATCCACTTAAGTTTCACCCCCCGCACAAACACACACATTTTCTCCACAACAGCTTTAAAAACAGTTTTAAAAATAAATAATCATTATCTCCCTTTGTCTGTCTTGATTATATAGTATATATATAAAAATACAAAATACCTCAGTGATGCAAGCAAGGGAGGGCAAATAACCCCGTGCCACAGCTGAACTGCAAGCCCTGCCTTTTCAAAGCCCCAGACTTCAAAATGCAATTGCATCGTACAAATTGCATTCATGCTAATTTTACAGACTCTTACAGAAGAACTAGGACAAATCTAACTCCAACTTTAGAGTCGGTTCTTTTTTTTTTTAGAGCCAAATACATTTTTATTAGTTTCCCAACATTAATCCAATAATAGCCCAATTGTAACAATACCAATTCATAACCAATTAATACAATTATTCAAATACCAAATGATACTTTTACTCCCATCTTTCTCTTAATCTCCGTCTGTGTTTCCCTGCAATGTTGAGGGAGTCGTCCATTCCTGGTGCAGAACAGAAATGGAAGTCAGAGTTGGTCCATTTTATCATACAGTGCTCTTTTGCTCAGAAGCAGTCCTTCTATACGTGGAGAAGGTTTTCAGCCTAATAATAATAATAATATTAATAATAATTTTTATTATTTATACCCCACCTGTCTGGCTTGGTTTTCCCAGCCACTCTGGGTGGCTTACAGCATATCTAAAAACATAATAAAAACATCAAGCATTAAAAACCCAATACAGGGCTGCCTTCAGGTGTCTTCTAAAAGTTGCGTAATTCTTCATCTCCTTGAATCTGAAGGAGGGTGTTCCACAGGGAGGGTGACACTGCCAAGAAGGCCCTCTGCCTGGTTCCCTGTAACTTGACTTCCCACAGTGAGGGAACTAGCAGAAGACCCTCAGAGGAAGACCTCAGGGTCTGGGCTGAGTGATGGGAGTGAAGACGCTCCTTCAGGTATACTGGGCCAAGGCTGTTTAATAAAGGGCATTTTACATTCAATCCACTTCATTCATCAATTTATAGTGTACCCTTCCTCCCAAAGGAACCTGGGACAGCCTGTATGCATGTACAAAATGTACAAGTTAAATCCCCGTTACCATAGCTTTTCCTAGAAAAGCTTGAGGATACAGTTTGGGGAACAGAAACACTTGGATGCAGAAAGGGCCAATTGCTATCTCACCATTTCTTCATGCTAAACCAGGGGTCAGCAAACTTTTTCAGCAGGGGGCCGGTCCACTGTCCCTCAGACCTTGTGGGGAGCTGGACTATATATTTTTTTTGGGGGGGGGAATGAACGAATTCCTATGTCCCACAAATAACCCAGAGATGCATTTTAAATAAAAGCACACATACTACTCATGTAAAAATACGCTGATTCCCGGACCGTCCACGGGCCGGATTGAGAAGACGATTGGGCCGGATCTGGCCCCTGGGCCTTAGTTTGCCTACCCATGTGCTAAACTGATCCCTCTGAAGCTGCTTTTCCTTTTAAAAAAGTCAAAATCAAAAGGAAGCTTTTCTGTGCCCAGTGGTGCATAACATATAGCTGGCTCCTGAGGGAAACACGTTTTGAAACAAGTCCATCACACAGGTACACTCAGCAATGATTGATTACAGCTCCCTGTTGAGAGTGTACTTGGCAACAAACATTTTTCTGCCATATGATCTGTGGAATTAAAGGTAAGGAAGGAGATCAACCACTCTGAAGTTCCTCGCTTCCCATAAAATTCATTAGAAAAAAGCAAGCAAGCAACCCTTCAGTGACGTCTGCGGACTGCAGCATCATCGTATTGGTCCATCACTGTATAATTATATGGACGGAATGCTTTCTTGACCTTGCAAACAGTTTGTCTAATGCATTCCTTTGTTTCTCCATCTCTTTCTGCAGACACTAATTCTATCACCCATGCATAATAGGCAATTTGACCTTACCAGCCCTTTTCAATAAAAGCTTCCACTGTATCATAAAGGACCATACTGGAGGGAGCAAAATTATTGGAACATAGAGGCTCATTCTCACTCGCTTCATTTGTGTCACAGCAGATTTCTTCATCTTTTCTATGGAGTTTCTGTGGAGTGCCTCTCACCGATGAAGCATCCTTTAAAATTGCAGCTTCTTAATTAGATTCTGTATGGCTAATAGCAAAACAATCAATGCGCATCAATGTCTCAGAA